AGTCTGCTCATCGTATGACGCTGGTAGTTCACGTGAAAAGAATTGAGTTAGGCTAGAGTCCGGACTGTAAGACAAGCTTTATGATCTGTGATAAGTTGCGCCTGCGTTACATAAACACTACTAGTTAGCAAGTTACATATTAGTTGGGTAATATATTAAACAATAATGCTTCTCATTATGTCTCATACTTAAAATGTAAACAGCTTTGCACTTTCTCGATGTATTTTATTAGTTATGGAAGAGATGATTCTATTCTGTTGAAAAGTTAATGACCCGTTTTTTTATTATTTTGATGATAATACGAGGCGTAAAAGTTTTTATGCTTGCGTTTACTGTTTGTTTGAATATGCGTGTTTTTTGAGTTTTTTTTTCTTTCTAAATGGCTTCGCACGGCTTGTGCATTTAGCCAATGTCAAGTGTTAAAATGTTTGCAAATACTATAGCACTCGTGGTCAAAGTAATAAATCAAGTCAAAGTAAGTGGCAGTCAAGTCAATCCCCTTTTCCTTATGTTTCAGTAAAAGTGTGGGGATTTACTGGAACCTCCCCGTGGACTTATTAAGGGAACGTCGAAAGACACTTTCCGCTATTTTATTTCACTTACCAACACTTGTGCATATTCCCGAACACTTAGTGGTTAATAATCCACCATTATTAGACACTAAGATCCGCCACAACACAATTTTTAACAAGAAAAACAAAACTGCTGAAGTGACGCTTCCCAATCCCGCCAAAAAGTCTCTTTTTTTGAGTTTCTATGATGTTAGTTACGATGATCTTTACAGCGCGGAGTTTGGAGCGGCGAAATCTTTGGACCCTTGTTAGCGAGAAGATTTCTTCCCAGATTCTCGTCCACGTGCACGGTTTGTGCGTTTATACCAGCGTTGCCAGACATTCCGATTACGGCGAGACGTCACGATTTTTAAATCAAAATTAAATGTCCGCGCGGGACTGGCTCAATCGCGCTTTTCGGGAATAACTCGACCGTGCATGCAGCGTACTGAGAAAGCGCGGGCGGATGGAAGAGACTGGCTACCTGTCCCGCGCGTAATCAATGCCGTTTTTGACCTATTGGAGGCCCTGGGCATATTAGTATAATGGGGGCCGTATGTCTTCCGTTTGGTATTTTAATAGGAACTAGGGACTTTGTATTTGATCTGAGGGGCCCCCTATTGATCGCGGGGCCCTGGGCACTTGCCCAAAGTGCCTACTGGGAAAGACGGGTCTGCGCGTAATGAAGAACTCTCAAACAATGACTCTACTATTTAACAAAAGGGTAAATCTGATTTAAAATAACATCTTTGTATTAAAATTTACTAGGTATTGTTACATAAATGTAATTTGAACTCAAAAAAAAAAAGGTAATTACCTATTATAAAAATAAATATGATAGATAATATGTCGTCTCACTAGTGTGTGACGTCACACGACATTCATTACAACGTTAAACGATACAATGTAATGTCACTTTGACCGGAAGTTTACTAGCGTGTGACGTCATTTTAGCCTTCGCAAATCCGAGGCGTTTTTGGTCACGTGATCGTAGAACAAAAAAAGCGTTCCTATTAAATGATTTTTTAGTAAAGTTATTAATATTTTGTTGTCTCAAAATAGTAAAATCGTTGCTAATATTCATATTAAATGCAGATGCCAACAATGAGTACTTTATTTTTCATACTGTCAAATAGCCTATTACATTGCTATATAAAACTAAAGGAAATCCATACTAATTTATTATAATTACGAAAGTTTATTTGGCTATCTGTCTGTAACCGTTTCACGCTTAAACCACTAAACCGATTTAGATGTTTTGTATAAAGATAGTTGAAGTCCCGGAAAAGGACATAGAATATTTTCGTCCCAGAAATCATCTTTTTGAGAGGTTGAAATGGGTTGGAAGTTTGTACGGGAAGACAATCTTCCACGTGGATTAAGTTGCTGGCACCCTGCTTATTAATTATAAAGGTTATTTCTTTCTTAGGTTTTCACGCACATCACTCATTAAATAAAACTAGCTTAGATTAAAACGACGTAGCCTGTAAAGGCTACGAAACGTCAATAAATAAATAAAGTTTCGTGCATTAACCCGTAAAAAGCTAGTTTTATATAAAGGTTATTTCATTATTGTGTTTTTTTATATATAAACCTATAATAACGATAAAGAAGACCTTTTTTGACCTTTTCTTTCTCCGAAATCGTAAGTTGCATGTTGTGTAACGAAATAATTACCTTCCATCGATTATTACCAACCGAACCAAAGGAGTGCTTGTCTATTATTTCAAAACAATTGAAAACACATCATATTAAGTAACGCGTTTGGCGCAATCAATAATTTCCTTAATTGCATTCATAAAATTTAAGTAATACTTAAATTTGTCCTACCTATCTATTGTTGGTGAAAAAAATATATATACTTAACATTTTTGATGTTGAAATAATTGCGTTACTAGCTGATGGGAAGCTTCTCCTGTACATCTGTCCGTCCATCCGTATATCATGAGACATATAGATGCAATTATCTATATGCCTCCTTCCTCCGATTTCTGACCAATTGTGAACCTAGGTACAACTTATGTCAAAAAAATTACTTAAATTATACATAAGGAACATGACTCATCTTATCAAAATCTTAATAAATTCAATAGAAATTTGTAAAAAACTGAATCAAAAGATTTAAAAAATTGGGATCTGCGCTTATAAAAATGTTGTCAAGAAACTACTTGGTTGCAACAAATTTAATGTTTTAAACATAAATAATAATAAAAAAACCAACACACACCAATTAGCCTAGCCTCAAAGTAAGCATTTGCGTTATGGGATACTTGGGTAACAAATAGAATACATATTGTACATTTATATAGAAATACATATTAAACATCCATGACTGGAGTACAAATTCTCGCATTCATCACACAAACATCTGCCCCCACCGAGATTCGAACCCGGGACCTCTCGAGTCGGCGACACCATGTAACTCCGCGTATAAACCACTCGGCCACGTAGGTGGTCATAAACACAAACGATAGTACGGAACTTATAGATTCATATTATAGTGTAATGTAATTTATTACACTGTGTGTTCTGAACGGTCATTACGATTGCGTACATAACATAGTTATAATGAAGTATCATCGACATCATCTCGTGAAGAACTGACGATTTGGTTATTACGACAATGATTTATTAACGGCACGCGATTGCAAATCTGTACGAGATTTTAGAGTTTCGGGTCCTTTGCAAAATAGAAATCGTGAAAATATCCGTGGAATTGTGAAAGGCGCACATAATTCACATGTTTTAGTAGAATCTTATAATAACACACTTACTGTACGTGTTATGACATCGCGTCTGTTAAAGTTTTTTGCGATGTTGAAATTGAGATTTTGAGTTTAAATATCTTTTTTTTAATTGATAATTATTTATATGAGCTATTTATTGTTCAGAATAGATGTAAGTATTTTTTTTTAATTATCTAGCGTTAGTATCTCTGAATCGGTTTAGACGATATTTTGTATTTCGATAGGAGATTTGCTTAGAAGTTCACCTATAAAGGGTGGTCCAATTAGTGACGTCAACAATTTTTTTTTAGATTCCTCGCACCTCGTATCCGAAAATACCCTATGTATGTTCCGCGATTTTTCTTAGTTTTCGAGTTATATTTTTTTTTGTGTATTTTTAATGATTTCTGCCAGCGAGATTTCAAAGATTCATATCTTTTTTCGTAGTAGGTATTTTGCAGTCTTTTTTTGGTGACATAATTGTCTTGAGTGTTGTTTTAATAAAAAAAATAACTCAGCTTTCTGGAATTACTTAAAGTTACTCAAAAAAGGCTTGAAAGTTGGAACTTTAATTTTTAGTAGGATTTACTCAAACATTCAACTTCAATTTAAAAATACAAAAAGGAGTTGCTATAGCTTCTGGCTAGCCGCCGCAAGCTCCTAAACTACGAGAAATTATAAAAAAAATACTTAATCAGCCTATTTTTGTTTTATTGGCCTTCGAAGGCGGATAGGCTAAAATTCATTGAAACACGATTAAAGCATTAAAAACTATTTTATCTACTTTCTATCATTGGTGTGGTAAATTAAACTTAAAAAAATGATAAGCAAAGTCAGATCCTCCAGGTATAATTGTTGTTCGTAATTTGCTCCTGCTTTTATTACGGAGTCCCGAAACATAATTTTCTGTATAATCACTTGTAACAAAAATATTCGGGATAATACAGATACATTTTTTTAGCATTTAACTGCTAGATGTTTTAATATAAAGAAAATCCGAGGGTTCCGTACAAACTCAATTTAAGACCCACTTAGAGGTAAATGAGAAAAGAGGTAGTAAATTTATTTTTTTCAAAAATCTTTTTTATTATATGATGTAACTAAAAATTTACGGTTTTCGCAAATTTCTCTTTATCTGTACTATAAGACGTTACTTAGTACAAATTTCAAGATTCTAAGTTCACGGGAAGTACCCTGTAGGTTTTGATTCCCGTGCGAGTTTCGATAATTAGCGGAAATTTGCGACATAAACGGCTGTATCTTTTGATTGCTTTGACTTAAAAGATTGATTTTTTCACAGCTCCAAGGGACAGTAGACCTGAGTATTAGTTATGAATTTCAGTTTGATACCTCCACGTGTTCCTGAGAAAAACAATTTTGACAGACGGACGGACGGACGAACAACAAAGTGATCTTATAAGGGTTCCGTTTTTTCCTTTTGAGGTACGAAACCCTAAAAATACAGAGATATTTTGCACGAAACACATAATATATTTGAAATACCGATGCCGAGAATCTAAGAAGTTTCTGCAAAAATGAACAATTATAATTCCAACACACATGACATTAAAATTCAAATCTCATTAACTTTATGGAAAATCTTACGTTGCGTAAACCAAAAATCCGTAACATTTACGTCGGCTTATTTCCCTATTTACCGATTAAAATCTCACAAGGAAGCATTATGTACAGTCACATCTTCGAATAAAGATGTGAATGCAACATGAAAATCACCTTTATTACCAAGGAAATAGAGGTGATTTCAACGTGGAATTGTAACGAGGTTCTTCCCACGCTGTCGTGTTGCAATTCCAAGACTCCGAAGCTTTCTCTTAGTGATCTGTGTTCGATGGACCGTCCTTACAAAAGCTTGCAACGAGAATGTTAAACGGGGCTCCTGTTACGAGAACGTAATTTATGGCCCAGACGTGAAATTAATATGTATAGTAATGGCTAAACTTATACGAGCGCTATAATAGATGTTTAAATATTATGCCTCGATTACATTCGGTCGTTAGCCCGAATACTAGTGCCAATGGAAGAGCGGCGTCCCCTGACACAGGCTTTTTAGCTTAACAGAGGACCCCGATCACTGTTTTTTTTTTCTACAAAAATTGTTAAGATCATTAATATTTATTATTAATGGAATTCGCGTGAACGACTAAGTGTAAATGATCGGAATCGAGTACGCCCGTATTAGGGCAGTTTTCTATTTTCGGTTACTCGACACCGTCTTTCAGCCCGAATCCCAGTGTAAATATTTCTTCGGGTGCCCCAATTTGAGTAATGTCTATCGTGCACCCGACGACATGTAATCAGGCCATTAGAGTTTAACGTTAGAATATTTCGGATGACAAAGTTAGTAAAATGATCATGTTCAGTAAAAAGAGTGCTTATTACCAAAAAAAACTTTAATGCTCATACCATAATAACATGCGTTCAAAAAGAGTTAAAAAATAACATAAAAATTTGCCGAGACAAGGTTAGAAACGGGTTTAACATTTTACCATTAGCTTATATAAGGATACGTTTTACTTTAATAATAAAAGACATTTTTTAAATTACAAATTATGTCGACTTTGATTGATAATTACAGAAAAATCAGAAATACCTATCTTCAACTGTTTTACTAATTTGAATAATTTAATTTTTTTAAATGAAAAAGTATCGTGGTTTAAGATAAATTTAGCAAATGACCGGGCTGTTCCACATTTAAAAATTGATTAACTATCTTTGTCTGCATTAAGCACGTGTTTCACGAACAACAATTAAAATCAACTCAGTTATAATTATTCTATCAATCATGGCCATTAATATATCAATTTTGCACATACAAACTTTATTTTAACATACATCTACGCCATCATCATAATAAATATCAAAGAATTACAATTTACACAATGAGATTGAAAATTGTATATAGAAACTGGAACGACTAAAGACATCCGATGCGTTAAGCGAGTGAGATTATAGAGATGGAATGGAGAACACATCCAAAGAAATCATTTTTTTTATTTTTATTGCATGCGGTACTACGATTGTGGCAGTTAAGCAACTTTCGCAATGGCCTGTCATTGGATGGGTGATAAAAAATATTTTATCGAGCTCCTCCGTGCTTCGAAAGGCACATTATGCATTGATCCTTGTGAGCATTCACCAATCCGTACTGGGCCCGCATGGTGGGTCATGGCCCATTCAGCCTATGCAGTCCACAGGGAAGACCCATGGCTAGCACCATTGCTGGGGCACATTAATAGTCTCATGACCACTTAATGTAACAGAATGAACTCTTTCTTTTGTGTCTATATACTTTCACTGCTTAATTCTGTATGTTGGCATGACAGTGAACATGTATGAATGTATGTCAAACACAGCCACTGGACAACTTACCAAAAACGGACTTTGAACTTTTTTTATAAGATTCACAATCTACTGATTAAAAATATAGTTTGTGGTATGTGTGGCTGTCTGTTCTATCTATACTAACGGGATCGTAGTAAAGTAAGAGTAATATACTCAAAATTATGAAATTAATTAAATAAAGTACTTATATAATTAAATCTATACTTATAATAAATCTGTAGAGAGGTCTATTCTGTACATGAAATATATTTTCAAAATAATTATCAGGGGGTGATTAGTGATCGATACTGATGCCAAAAATGCAATCAGTAAAATTTTTGTCTGTCTGTCTGTCTGTCTGTGTGTATGTTCCTTATAGAAACAAAAACTACTCGACGGATTTTAACGAAACTTGGTACCATTATTCTTCATACTCCTGGGCAGGTTATAGTATACTTTTCATCACGCTACAATCAATAGCAGCAGAGTAGTGAAGAGAAATGTTGGGAAAACGGGAGAAGTTACTCCATTTTTTAAGCTTCCGTCGCGTGTGCAGCCTTAATGGTTAAGGTTACATAGAAATCATGTATGACGAAAATATTCTACATAAAATTGTCTAAAAAATATCCCGCAACAGCATATGTCTATCTTTTATGGTTGACTCACAATAACACGTGTAATTATATAAATAAAGTCATTGTTTATAGCACAAGTCTGAGAACAAAAACTATAGTTTACACTACAGCTAATAAATTCGTACATCGACAATAAAGTTAGGAGAAATCTTCCAATGAAATATCCGAACGCTCAATAAAAGTCATTCGAGGGTCTTCGAGAGAGCTCGACAAAGAAAATAAAATCATAATTCTGACGACGCAGCCTGGAAAGGATGCGAAACGTCATAAATAAATTAATCAGTGCATTTGTACCGTTGAAACTTGTTTTTTTTCAAATATAAGTGATAAATTTAAAATGCTGGCCGTTTAAGTACGGATAAAATTTTTCGGTAAACAAATTAAACGGCGAACCTCCTATTGTCGTTCACACAAAGAGGTTTTAATATGAAAACAACGGATTGTTTTAATGTCTAATGTCTTCGAAGTGACGGTTTAGACTTGGGTGAGGAGCAGTCATAAGCTTAACGCAGTGAGCGCCCTAAACGACTTGCTGTCGCACAAAGATATCTCGTATCATTGACCCGAGAGAATCTCATCAAAACCTCGGTGTCCATAAGAATTCACCGTCATTACACTATTACGTTATGAACAGACGGACAATTTGCCTAATATCATGTTTGTAAGGTTGCGCAGCTTCGGAGTTTGGTAACAAGTAACATCTCATTATTTACATAGACCGGTTTTTTTGTGGGCCACTATTTATATTCGCTTTAAATTTAATTTTGTCAGTTATTATCTGGAATACCTTTTATGTTCCTTAAAATCCTACTAACAAATTATTTTTAAAGTTTGTATGTTTGTTACTCAATTGGAATCAGATTTGGATGAAATTCAGGACGCATACAGTATATGACGGGAGTTGAGACATGACACTTCTTATCCCAGAAAAGTGTTAGGTTCCTGAGGAATTTACAATAAAGCTAAAGTTTACGAGGATGAAGTCGCAAGCGACCGCTAGTATTACAATATGTACTGCCTTTTTTTACTATCTAACTAAGCACCGAGCTTGATCAGAACCATGTTATATAACTCAAAGATTTATCGAGCATCGAGGACCTTAGTTAGACAGTTAGACAGTTTTCATACAAAATTTTGCGATGTAATACACAGCTATCGAAAAAGAGTGCTTGGTCCTATTTTAGTTTTCTGGCCATGCCTGTAAGGACGGGATTTTGCGGTATCCATTTATGTGAAGCCTGCACCATACTTCTCTTTTTTATATTAAAAGGGTAGCAAACAAGCGGTGGAGCCTGATAGCGCAGGCATGTACCCCAGCAGTGGGGACATTTATAAGCTGATGATGAAGATACTACCTCAATTTTATCGGTTAACATGAGATAATGATTTTTGTGGGAAAACAGGGGAACCAGCCCGTTACCCGTATAGTGGGTCATTCGGACTTCGTCTTACTTCGACTACTACCTAGACAAAGCAACTTCAAGAGTAGTGTAGAGGATATTTAAGCGTGAGCGACACCACCATATGGTAGTAATTTTTAATGTGGTCTTTTTTTCCCTTAGCACGAACCACCGAACCGAACAGTTATCGAATACGCAATGCCATTGTCAAATGTGTACTGATTTTTAGTTCGCGATACATCCATTATAGACTGAGAGCCAGTGATCTCGCGTATTGCAGGAGTTTGTTAACAGAAAACTAAAAGAGGACCAAGCACTCTTTTTTGATAGCTGTGTAACGTATTACATCGCAAAATTTTGTATGAAAACTGTAATATTGGGGATTTCCAATTAAATACGGGCGTTCAGTTCAAGCGTTTATTGCGGACTGGCGGGAAGCGGTCGCCCCCCATTTAGCCTACCCTAAAGTTAACAATATTCTTATTGCTTACCTACATTACAAAAACTAAGCTTTTTCCATACAAAATTTGATGATTATAGTAATATAACTTATTTACGGGATATACTTATTTTTAGCGAGTTTCCGATATTTCGGCAATGTTGCAAGCGCCATGATCACGGAGTAACTGAAGTAATTGCGGGTAGGCTGTTATTGGCAGACATATCGATCTACCCACAGACGAAGTCTTTTATAGCGTTAAATAACTTATATTACTGTAATGTTAGTGACCATGAAAGTTTAAAACAATAAAATTTGATGATTGCGTTACTTTATGGAGATGTCTAAAACTCGGGCCTGGATAATGTTTTATGTGGACATAAATATATCTTGTCTCTCGGTCATCAAAAACAAGATTAGCTCAAAACCAGTTTATAAATGTTACGGTTATTAACCAACACTATAGTAAAAAATGTGGTAAATTTCCCATTTGTTTACATTAAAAGTGTGGGAACTAAATTAAATTGCCCAATAGTCAATCATTGGAATTTGTTTTCACAATTCTCATTTAAGTAACATAGCACATCGCAATAACTTGTTTGACAAAACTTATTAGTTTTATAGATCATTAACTATTATTAGCTTTAGTTTAATCTCCTCAGCATGAGAGCAGGCTACTTAATCAACTATTTTCGAGGCACTTACGCAACGAGTAGGAGGTTTAAATGTTACATTTTGCCTTTGTCTTTCTTTAATAGAATCATTAACGTGTTACCTAACGTTGAGAGATTTTAGTTAACAATAAAAATCTCTTCTAATTGTGTTTGTTTGGGTTAAAAATCTCTCCAACCGTCTGAACAGTATCAATACATAAAACAGTTATTGTTGTCTGGTTCGTTATAGTTATTATTATAGTTGTGTGCAGCTTTGGTATTTTTTATTTGATTCCTCCCAGGCGGGTGTGAAATCCTCATGGATACCTTACAGCCGGCTGCAAGGTTATGTCAGACTCCTACTGACTAAAATACACCCGTAGTTTATGCTTATGGCCTGAAGGGCCTTACAAGCTTCATCTGAAGCGATTATCCCCTGAGAGGGGGATAATGCAGTGAGAGGGGGATAATGCAGCGGTTCTGTAGTATCTTTTCAATTGTCTATATACTTTTTATAACGTAACGATAGCGCGATTCAGAAGCCGTTGCCGCGGGTACTCCCGGTATCTTTGTGGAACTAACGATATTTTATTGTGATTTTTAAATAGTTTTATTTTAGATTTTGTTTTTCAATGCAAAGTTTTACGCTCGTCTATGTTACTTTTAATGTTTTCTTCTAATGAATTTTCAATAAGTAAGAAGTTATTTTTAACAAAGTTAAACGACTATTACTTTTAAACAAACAAATCTACCTTAATGGTTATAATTTTCCTCAAAAGTTCATTAAAAACACTATCATCATGAATTTTCCAGGGTTTTCAGGCTGATAGTTTAGCTTTTAGAGGGGGGAGGGGGGACGCCCTACTCGAACAGTAATTAGTACTTTAAAGTTTAATATTTCACAGACAAATTAATAAATCGAAAACAAGTTTTGAAAACCCCGAAGTAATGAAAAGGACCTATTCAACGAAACCGCACACGGTGGGTAGATAGTAAAAAAAATCATCCTCAGATTACATGTAGGTGTTCAGCTCCCCTAAAAAAATATTTTTCAAAAATTTATTCCACCATTTTGTCGGCGTGATTGATACACATATCTCCACAAAATTACAGCTCTCTAGTGCTAACAGGCTCCAAGCAAAACCAGGGACGGGTAGACAGACGGACATGACGAAACTATAAGGGTTCCTTGTAAGGACTACGGAACCCTAAAAACGATGGGTAGTTCTGATTACAAAGTAGGATAAGAAATATATATAAAAATTTCAAGTAAATAATTAAATCGGTAGGGTATAAAAATGGATTTGTCGCAGGCGGAGAACCAAGTTTAATACAATTAGCTTAATTGTGCAATTTCTGGTTTTCAGAAATGCATAAGTGATTTATTTAATAATAACAATTTGGTTTTACCTCTAATCATGAGCCCTGATCAAAGCAAACAAATTGTTTGACACTATTACGAAATCTGAAATACTGCTTTTTATTATCGACTATCTTCATGATGGAAAGTTGCGCATCTGTCCCAGGGCCTTTTAGCTTAAAACGACGGTAACACAGCTTCAATTTGTAAACTTAATTGACGGCGGTGTAATATTTTATCTGTTCCGTGGTAATATATCAGATTGCACGTAACTCGGGTCGTGGAAACTGGGGGTCGCGGCGGCGACGGACGAACGAGATAATGTCGTTGCGCAAGAGTTGATGTGTAGGATTCGCGTTACTCCGGCTTCAATACAAACCACATTGGGAACTCAGTTTCGTTAAGGTGCGACTTATAAACGGGAAGCATAATGAAGTGGTTAGCGCGTTCGGGCTGCGTCCGTGGAAGTTAAGCAATGGTCGGTCATCGGATGGGTGTCCACAAGTTTACTATCTCGAGTTTTTTTTTGAGTGTGTATGCTGTTGGTCGCAGATGACCTTTACAGCGCCACCGGGTTTGGGTACGGCGAGATCCTAAGGAACCTCCGGCCGAGAATTGGCGAGTGCCTCTAGACGTATTCCAGGCGGATGGCATCTCCCCACGGGGGGAGTCTCCTCTCCGTCTGGAGCATATAGACCACTCGAATCTGAGGAGGTCGGCTCAATTAGAGTGCGTCTTTGAGACTAGGACCTGGGCTCTAGTTAGCCATTGTCGTGGGGGCGGGGAAAAACGCCCAGGTGCGAATCTCGAGCTCCTCCGTGCTTCAGAAGGCACGTTAACCCGTTGATCGTCGTTAGCACTCACCGGTATGCACCGTGTGGTGGGTCATGGCCCAATCTCCCTATTACATCCATAGGGAAGGCTTGTGCCCCAGCAGTGGGAACATTAATAAGCTGATGATGATATAATTTGTAATAGTATATATAGTATACTGATGGTCTATTGTAAATTCGCGTGTAAACACTTTCTCGCTATTAAGCATTGCAACATAATCCGTCCATGTGTGTCCATTCATTAAGTTGCTGTTTTTAAGATGCTGTAGGTAGTTAAATCATCATTTTTGACGCTGTTAATAGAATACCTATATAGATGTTGTACATGTGATTTTTATATATGTATATCTTCAGTTCCTAAGCTTAATGTTTACTAGTCCGTGAACATGATTATCGAAAATTTTCTCGATAGATTCAATTATCTTAAAAACTTATCTGACTATAAACATGAAATTTGCTTTGTTAGATAGCTTTTTAATAAATCTAAGTTTTTGCTTAAATATATTTCGATAGGATTTTTAGTTTATTTTAGTTTACATGATTTACACGTTTTTAGGGTTCCGTTGGTCACTAGCGAGTGCAGATGCAGCCGGGGCTTAACGTGCTTCCGAAGTAAGGAACAGCTCGAGATAGTAAATTTTTGGTCACCCATCCAATGACTGACCACTGCGAAAGTTGGCTAACTTCAACTGAATATATATTTTTTTATGTCGGACTGGGGGGCGAATGTAAAACATAGAAGGAGCGATCTGTTAATTTTTTTAAAGAACAGTAGGTTCAGTATGGTCCTTGTTGTCGGCGTAGTGTGACCGAAATGTTTTACCGAATTTATATCAAAATTATCCTAGAAGTATAGCCATTATTTACTTTTGTTATTTTTTTATATAGCCAGGTAGGCAAATGACTCTACCTGATGTCATGTGGTGATAAAGTCCAAACGCGAAGATAGCTGGTACAGCAGTTCTAAACAATTATTTTGTTCAATATAGATTCATAGATAGTTAAGATGAAATTGTTTATGATATGGCAAATAAAGGAGGAGCTCGATGGCGCCAGTGGTTAGCGCGTTCGGCTGCGGTCGTTGAACTTGAGCAACTTTCGTAGTGTTATAATTTTTATTATTTTTAAAGCATGTAACTGCTTGATGTTTAAATCTAAAGAAAATATAACTAGAAAAAATTCCACGCGGACCAGGCAGCAGACGGGACTCGAACCCGCACCCTTCGCAATCCGGGCGAATGCACTGACCAATTATGCTACCGCGGCCCTCACGGACCGCGTCGAAATTCCTTCTAGCTATTCTTAAGCTGCAAGGCAGCGCCATCTCTTCGCATTATAGGTAAACCCACAATGTCAAATGAATACTTTTACAAGTATTAAACATTTGAAAGAAGAAATAGCAATTATAGTTATAATTTTTATTATTTTTAAAGCATGTAACTGCTTGATGTTTAAATCTAAAGAAAATATAACTAGAAAAAATTCCACGCGGACCAGGCAGCAGACGGGACTCGAACCCGCACCCTTCGCAATCCGGGCGAATGCACTGACCAATTATGCTACCGCGGCCCTCACGGACCGCGGAATTTTTTCTAGTTATATTTTCTTTAGATTTAAACATCAAGCAGTTACATGCTTTAAAAATAATAAAAATTATAACTATAATTGCTATTTCTTCTTTCAAATGTTTAATACTTGTAAAAGTATTCATTTGACATTGTGGGTTTACCTATAATGCGAAGAGATGGCGCTGCCTTGCAGCTTAAGAATAGCTAGAAGGAATTTCGACGCGGTCCGTGAGGGCCGCGGTAGCATAATTGGTCAGTGCATTCGCCCGGATTGCGAAGGGTGCGGGTTCGAGTCCCGTCTGCTGCCTGGTCCGCGTGGAATTTTTTCTAGTTATATTTTCTTTAGATTTAAACATCAAGCAGTTACATGCTTTAAAAATAATAAAAATTATAACTATAATTGCTATTTCTTCTTTCAAATGTTTAATACTTGTAAAAGTATTCATTTGACATTGTGGGTTTACCTATAATGCGAAGAGATGGCGCTGCCTTGCAGCTTAAGAATAGCTAGAAGGAATTTCGACGCGGTCCGTGAGGGCCGCGGTAGCATAATTGGTCAGTGCATTCGCCCGGATTGCGAAGGGTGCGGGTTCGAGTCCCGTCTGCTGCCTGGTCCGCGTGGAATTTTTTCTAGTTATATTTTCTTTAGATTTAAACTTTCGTAGTGGTCGGTCATTGGATGGGTGACCAAAAATTTACTATCTTGAGCTCCTCCGTGCTTCGAAAGGCACGTGAAGCCGTTGGTCCCGGCTGCATATGCAGTCATCAGCACCCACGAACCCGCACTGGGCCCGCGTGGTGGGTCATGGCCCAATCTCCCTAATCCATCCATAGGGAAGGCCTCTGCCCCTGCAGTGGGGACATTGATAGGCTGATGATGATGGCAAATAAAAATAAAAAGTTGTCTAAGCAACCTGAATTTATTACACAAAAAATAGAGTTCTGTTTGTAATTTTAGTATTACACACAAAGGGGAACAAGCACGCGACTCTAATGAGCTGAGTCTGTTTCGATCGTAACAGTCATTTGTAACCACCGAGACACGCACATTACACCTGACGAGACGAATTAATGCTCTTAATAACGAGATATGTGAAAATAACCTGTCGTCCATTCTATTGTTGTGTGAATACTTTTCTTTTGAATTTTTGTTTTAGCCTAATGCCCGTTATTCTTATCAACTTATGTAACTTCAATGTGCAATAAGTTGACAGTTCATATTTAAAAAAAAAAATTTTTCTTAATTTCAGATTGTGTTCTTCGTGGTGGTCGCTTCAGCGAAAGGCGAGCCAGATCCCAAGAAATATAAATCAGAAGTAAAAGATAAGGAAAAATTATCAAACTCGAGTTTGACAGAAGAAGAGAGAACGTTTCTGAGGGAAGTCGAAGCAAAATTCGGTATCAAGTCCGATGTTCCTTTGGATGAGGTTAAAAATGATGAAAGCGAAAAAAGTAACGGAACTTCTACTAGCAAAGCACCATTTCCAGCAGTGATAGCGATTGAAATTGTAAATGATACAGACACGAGTACGAAAGGCAAAAGAACTATTGATGCCAATTTAGGGTATGGTTATAGAACAAACAACGGGTACACCTATACGTATTTTGGCAAACAACCACAGGAGAAAGGCAAATTTATGATATACCCATATTCGCAAGAAGATATTCCTCCATCTCGTCCTACACCATACAATTCCGGGTATTCTCAGTCAGGAACATACACAGCAGATTCTTCAAACGTGGAGATACAACCGTCTCGAGCTTACGAGCTTGTCGAAGAACAGAACTCTTATCAAAAATCAAAACCCAATTATGAAAACATTAGGGGATTGGTTTCTCCACCACCTCCGTATGCGGGTACAACTCATAGTTCACACCCAACATTTTATACTACATACAACGGACAAGAGTTCTCAGGACTAAGCGGTCAGTTCCCCATGGTGATGTCTAACTACTTGGTTGAACCATCGCAGTTGCTCAAAAATCCTCAATATCAGAGTGCTGGGCTTAATCAAGAATATCTCCGCAGTCACGGTTCCCAATTAGAACAACGTGTTGTACCAGTATTAGTGTTAAGAGTACCAAGTTCTTACCTCATGAAACCCACAGCTGAACTTTATTCTGGCACGAATAATTACCCAGTGTCGAATTATTTGAAAAACGTGAATTTGCAAGAGATAGTTAACAATTATTTTAAGAAAATCGGTTACTCCTTTGCACCACAGGTTATGACATACCAAAATTCAATTGCGTCAGAGCATGTTTCGGCTCCAAATGCCATGCCAGCACAAAATTATGCTTCTCCTTACGTGATTCCGTCATACACTCAGGCTGACACTTCCGGAGTTCAATATTCGGCGGTTCAACCAGTGATGGCTAAATACCCAACAAGTTACTCTCCCCAGCAATATTATGCATCAATGACCCAAACGCTTTACCAGCAGCCCGAGCAACAATACGAATATTCTTATCAATACGTACCTCAGTCTCAAGGCCAGGCACAGTCGTATTATGTACAGCCTCAATACCAAACGCAAGTAGAAACAGAAGCACCTCAAACTAATGCCCAGAGTATACATGAATCTGCAGAACAAGGTTCTAGCAGCAACTCGGCAAGTGAAGCGGAACATAGTGTACCTCAATCTGTTACCTACGAAAACGCTGCTTTTTCAGCCGAATACGGTACTCCTGAAACTGAAGGAATGGAGCATGCTGCCCCTCAACAAATACAATACGAAACGTCACAGACCCTTGGGCACACAGAATACGGAACGCCTAAAGAACAGAGCGTCGAATATTCACCACAGCAAACTTTGTCCACCGAATATGGACCGGCGAAACCATCTCTTCCAGCTTACACTTCACCGCAAGCTACACGACCACAATACAGTCTACCGAAATACACAATACCTAAGGAAACTCTCGCAGCTTATCAGGCACAGTTGGGCCACAGCGCTTCCAGTGCCGGTGCACAGAATTACTACTACCCAAAACAAGCGAACGACGAATCTGAAAGTAACACTTTAGTCCTATCAGAGAATTACCCCGATAAAGATCACACTCTTGCAACAGTATTACCTCTCAGCTACAAGCGTGAGAGGAAGCCCGCGACTGTGCAAACAATTAGTTACGTCACTCCGGTCCCGCACAAGTACCAATCTCCGTACAAAGTAATGGTGCCACAGACCTTTCTCAAGAGCCCCGTAAACGAAAAGGTTTCGTACGTCAATTCTCACTCGCTACCTTACAGCAGACCCATGAACCAAGAACACAACCCTGAAGTTGAGTATACTGTACCTGCTCATTATACCCCTCCAGTGGGCAAGCAAAAACCACCAAGCTATCCAAGAAACTACCACTCTCATCCTAAGCGCAATGTAAAATCTGAGAGCAAAATTGAAAACCAAGCAACGACACACAAAAAGCAACCACAATCGAATGATAAAAAGAAGAAATCGGAGTAAATACAATCTAATAATACTTGTATTTAATTAGAAATTGTAAATATAGCCGCTAAGAGAGACCACTTGAAAATATTGTGAATACAATAAAAAAGCTATTAAACTTTAATTTTTTAAACTATTTGCCTTGCAAATTGGTAGTCAGACGATTGTTGAAAGCTTAGTGCTGTTGTTGAATTTTGTTGCAAAATTGTTATATTAGTTAAGTTATTTATTATGTTTAAAGCTTTGACAAACATTTATTGCCATGCCGAGCATATTATAGCAATGGAAAATCATAAAAATTACTATGTAAATTTCAGCCATTAATGACTGAAATTTTAGAAATGAATAACTATTTGGTTATTCAAATATTATGTCACGCAAGTTGCATTTGAGAATTATATATTAAAAACCAGCTACCAAATTAATCATATAATTAAGATTATCTGATTCATGATTTGCTTTATGCATCATTTGATTTTTTGAGATTTTTCTTTTTTAATGTTATAGTAAATTGACATAACACTTAATTCTATTGATAAATTTTAAGTGCTTACTTTTCTCGAGTATTCTTTTTATGTATGACTTAACGGAAATTCAAATGTTAATCTCATTTCTGACATGGCTGTATCGAAGTGCAATAATTATGTTAAATAATTAGTTTAAGGCATCAAAATTGTTTTTTTTATTAATTAAAAAATATTTTTATAATTTTGAAGTCTTGTTTTGATTGGTTTCCTAAAAATTTTTGTACAAATTTTAAGTCCTTATGTAGGACCGCCTCATTCAATTAAAAAACACATAGTTTCAAATATTAATAAAGGTACTTATACTACTTCGCTGTTTACTGACACCACAAGAGATATAAGATGGGAATTGAAGACACGCGCCTAAGCCTAACTATATCAATACAAATATTTAAAATCTTCTGAGCATGTGAAATTAAAGTTTGCTTGAGATTTATAAATCTTGCAGTTAAATGCAAACGACAAATTGCTGTTTATTCTTTCAAATGTTTAATACTTGTCAAAGTGTTAAATTTGACATTCTAGGTTACCTACAATGCCAGAAAATAAATACTGGAAATACTGGAAGTAATTCGACACGGTTCGGATAGCGGAAGCTCCGGGTTCGAGTCCCGTCTGCTGCCTGGACCGTGCGGATCTTTTTCTAGTAAAATTTTCTTTACGATTCAAGGTCTTATATGGTCTTATAACCAAATATAAGAGCTTATATTAGGTTCAGGCCGTTAAGTTGAATTGTCTGAAGAAACATCAGCTATCAGACTTTACTTACAAATAACAATACAAGAAATTTATACGCAATACTGTAGACGTATAATTTTTTTTTGTTTGCGTGAAACGAGTGATTTCTCAATGCTCAATATATTGTATCTGTTCCAAAGATATATTAATTATTGCATTAAATCGTAGAAAAGTGCCATTATAGCAGAGCAACGGTACGCACGCAGTTTCAACTAGATTAAATACTTGGGCGTAAAAATAACATAAATTTCACTGTGTATTATTAAACTCTTGAGTTATGAACGATTCATTTAGAAGAGATGATACTTTATAATTATTTTTTTAAAACTCACTAATTAGCCTAGCCCCAAAGTAAGCACTATACGGCTTGTGTTATGGGATACTAGGGTAACGAATAGAATACATATACGAGTACTGTACATATATAAGTATTTTATATTTTATATAGACATATTAAACATCCATGACTGGATTACAAATGCACGTATTCATCACACAAACATCTGCCCCCACCGGGATTCGAATCTGGGACCTCTCGAGTCGGCGACACCATGAAACCCGGCGTACAAACCACTCGGCCACGGAGGTCGTCAAGTTAGTAAATTTTAAAAAGTTATATTTATATTTTACTAGCAAACCAGGCGAACTCCATTTCGCCATCAGATGGCTTCGCTTTATGTAACATTTCGTTTGCAAAACCGTGGAAATCGGTTCGTGCGTTCTGGAGTTATAGCGTCAGGAAGGAAAACCCGACTTATTTTTATATAGTAGATGATGTAAATTTGAATTTGGTGGAAGGGAAAATGTGAACTTGTTTAGTTCACGGCACATTTAAAATGAAAACAATGCAAACTGTAACAAAATTTAAATAGACTATTTTTAAACACAAAAATGTATTGTCTTAAAAGTTCTTAAAAAACACAATCATTTCGTAAAAAGTACAGAGGCTGTTGTTATCCACATAATAATATGGTCGAAATTAATATGATTATACGCTTCGATTTGAGTGGTCTAGTGGCTCCAGATGGAGAGGAGACTCCCGCCGAGGAGAGATGCCATCACACTGGAATACTCTAGGGGTACTTTCTCGGCTTGAGGTCCCTTTAGGATCTCGCCGTCCCCAAACCCGGTGATGCTTTAAAGGCAAGGCGATCAACAGCATAACCACACGAAAAAATTATGGCACGTATGTTCCTTATGAGATCTAAGGGTGCACTAAGAAAGGATTTTTCGATCGAATTTACCCCTAAGAGGGTAAAAAAGGGGATGAAAGTTTGTATGAAAAATCTTATTCTTTGAGTTAATAGAATTAAAACTTGGTACGAATTAGTAATAAGCCATTTTTTGGTTTGCCTAAATTACCCCTTAACATATAACTTCGATACCCAATAAATCCCTTTAGGATGTTGCCGTCCCCAAACCCGGTGACGCTTTAAAGGCAAGTTGATCAACACCATAACCACACGAAAAAAATATGATTGGTTGAAAAATTGATTCACTAATAGCAGTAAAAGTCAGAAGGCTTCATCCAATTTGTATTTGTGTTAAAGATGTGTGTATGAGATGAAACACTGAGGGCTCTGTGGTCTTGCCGCTCGCTAAAGCACCTGAAGGGAAATAACCTTCAATAAAAGATTGCAATCAAAAACAAGTTCTATATTAAAGGGATACAACCCATAATATAAAACAATTGTATATTAAGGGTTGTATCCCCGTAGTTTCCAGAGCTTAATACCGGCCATACACACTACGAGAAATCGTTACGATTAGACTGTACAGTCCGAACGGTACCGATAAATCGTAGCGTGTATGTTATAAAACTGCACAGTTTCCTATACTAAACGAAATCGTATAAACTGTTCCGTTCGAACTGTACAGTCTGATCGTAACGATTTCTCGTAGTGTGTATGGCCGGTATAACAGGGCAGGGGCAGGGAATTACAGTAGGCAATGTGCAAGAGATACTCTGACATCGCTATCATATACTCAATCTATGGTGATCGCTTCTTAGAGCCTTGAAACTACGCAACGAATTTAAATGTAGTTTTCAGCAAAAGATAGAGGGATTCAAAGGAAGGTAGTATACTGTATAATACATACCTATGACGACCTCCGTGGCCGAATGGTTCGAATCCCGGTGAGGGCAGATGTTTGTATAATGAATTACGAGCATTTATACTTCAGTCATGGAAGTTTTATATGTATTTCTATATAAATATACTTATATATATACAGTATATGTATTCTATCCGTTACCCTAGTATCCTATAACACAAGCCTTACAGTTCTTACTTTAGGGCTAGGCTAATTGGTGTGAGTGTTAGAAATATTTATTTATACCTAAAGAACAAAAACTATAGTCTTACCCTAAGCGAAGGGTTACTAGTTAGGTAATAAATTAAGTTTGTCAGGGTGAAGGGGTGTAGATTAATTTAAGTTTAGCAGATGTACTGTGATCGACTTACTGTGGCCACCATTCCAATGCGAACAACACATGACTCATTTCTTTGTCGTTCTATCCGCAAATGGAATGCTTTGCCCGCTCACGTGTTCCCTCCCTCCTAAAACTCGGGATCCTTATAAAAAGGCGAAAAGAAGCAGTATGCAGGTTGGCATGGTGAGTATGGCTGGTATGGCAGGTTGAACTGCTGTACCTGCTATTTTCGCGTCTGGACTCCACCATGACTTAACATCAAGAGGGGTGGAGTCATTTGTCGGACCTATTTATATAAAAAAATATGCCGTTTGAAGCACCCACAAATCTGTACTAGTCGTGTGTAGTTGGTCATGACCTATTATGAGGAAAGCCTGTGCAAAATGCAGTTCAGTTAAATACTTATTCGTCATTGCAATTTTTATTATTAAACAATTTCTGACGCTTTTGTTTTTGCAGGCGTTGCTATTTTGAATTTATTTACAATTATTTTACGCATTTTAAAAGGTTTTTCGTTACAATTTCTCCATTTAACTATTTATTAGATCAGATGTGGAAAACGTAGTAAAAAAAATTGGTTCACTTAAAAATATAATTAAGATATCAAGTGGTACCTTCGCATTTCTTTTAGGCAAACTAAAAGCTATGTTGGAGCTTTTTCTTGTGTATTTGCTATGATTGTTTTCTTAGGTTCTTTTACAAATGACAATGGTTTAATAGGTTTTCTTATTTGTTTCATAACATCTTAAATTAGACAACCTCCGTGGCTGAGTGGTTTATATGCCGGAATTCATGGTGTGGCCGACTTGAGAGGTCCCGGGTTCGAATCCCGATGGAGGCAGATGTTTGTGTGATGAATACGAGCATTTGTACTCCAACCATGGATGTTTAATATGTATTTCTATAAATATATACTTATATGTACCATATATGTATTCTATCCGTTAGCCTAGTATCCCATAACACAAGCCTTACAGTGCTTACTTTGAGGGCTAGGCTAATTGGTGTGTCTTGGAAATAGTTATTTATTATTTAAATATATAAAAGAAGGAACTGACTGATTGATTGAGTGAGATATCAACGCATAGCCCAAACCACTAGGTCTACAGACTCCAAATTCAGCACGTATGTTTCTTATGAGGTCTAGGGGTGCACTAGAACCCCGTGATACCCCGGGAGACCCCTGCCGTGGAGCCCCGGCTAGGCCGGGAGGCTGCTAGGTGCGGAGACGCGGAAGAATCCCTAAACGGGGATCCCGCGGCTTCGCGCTAAGCAGCTTAGAGGGTATTCGCAGGACTTTTTTAGCGGATATTATGCCGTAA